CCCCCCCCCCCCCCCCCCCCCCCCCCCAATGTAGTTTCTAATGGGGTATAAACCATGTCGAACAACAATGACACGACTGCATTGTTTACCCACGTGCCGAGGACTGCTGACGCAATGAGAAATAAGTGAAGATAAACCATACAAAAGGTGACAGTATTTATTTGAACAGCAAGAACAATAGAATATTAAAATTTTGAGTTGGCCGAAGATGTATTACTCAATAAGCCTTTCTTAAAGATTTTGAATGCCACTGTCACATGTGTTTCTCCTGCACTTTGCGTCTTAGTTAATTTATAAAATAGATGACGATGCTTCTACAGACGTTCTCAGCTCTCACATCCTCTTTAGCGGAAACTGAAGACCTGACTGACAGAACTAACTAAACAAAGCAAAACAAAAATAAAACAAAACAAACCAAACCAATCAAAACAAAACAAAATAGCTAACTTCTATAGTTTGCTAGTTAAAACGAGATATTTATGTTTAAGCATTATTCTTGGAGTTCATGAGATGTATGAGATGGTGACCCTATCACAAATTGTACAATCCTCAAGGACTGGTCCCTCGGGCGACAAATATTACAATAAATTTTGTAGACACCGTCAGGGCAAGCCATTCATTTCTTTCTCACCTGCGGTCGACTGGCATTAATATGTTGGATAATTTGTCAACGGAATATCATTATGGACTTGGGGAACTCTTTGGGAAAGTAGTTTTTGGCAATTTGTGCGCTGTTAAGAGTCTAAATGGACTGGGTGAATCTAGTTTCATACGTTGACAGTAATCTCTTTCTAAAACATTATATCTAGTCGAAGAGGAAGACTGGCAAAACTAACCAAGCAACAAGGACGACTGCACCAATGAGTAAGTTTCCAACTATTCCACCATCACAAAACATAATTACTGCAACAGCAGCAGCAATAAAAAAACCCAGCACTGTTACCTCAGTAAGCAACTTCCTTCGCCTCAGCCATTAGCATCAGCAACACCGGCACCAACGGCGTTTGATCAAGTTAGTTATCATCTTGAACCACATAGGCGAGCGAAGTAACAATCATGGTCTAGAAAAATAGAGCATTCTTAACTCTCCAACACCCGTCTCTCTCTCTCTCTCTCTCTCTCTCTCTCTCTCTCTCTCTCTCTCTCTCTCTCTCTCTCTCTCTCTCTCTATCCCTCTCCCTCTCTCTATTTCTCTCTCTCTCTGCCCCTATCTGTCTCTGTCTCTGTCTGTCTGTCTGTCTGTCTGTCTGTCTGTCTGTCTGTCTGTCTGTCTGTCTGTCTGTCTGTATCTCTCTCTCTCTCTCTCTCTCTCTCTCTCTCTCTCTCTCTCGCTCTGTGCTGCTTTCTCCCTTCGCCTGTTAATCTGTCTGTCTTTCTGTCTGTCTATCTGTCTGCCCCTCTCTCCCCTGTATTTCTCTTCGTAACCTTCCCACTCTTTATATCTTATTTCTTCTCATATATCCTCCATTCTGTTCTTTTTTTTTCTCCTTAAAAGACAGATAAAACATCATCATCAGTGTCTAGACAGAGAAAAGAATAGAAGCTCTCAAGCAAAGACCTCGCGCCGGATAAGAAAAAAGATGCTGATTTCGGGGTGAACAGACGCATGTGGGCAGGGAGAATGTGACCAAGTGGGTTTGTGACACGGCTCGACAAATTTTGGCGCCAGACCTCTGGTTTGGGGCCGGCCATCAGCAAAAACCTTCTTTACAGGGTAACAGTCGAGCGAGAGAACCGAGTGGTTACCAAATTAGCAGTCCATGACGTCATTATGAAGTAACAATTGGTAGAATGGTTTGTAATTTGTTTGTCCTCTGAGAAGCGAATCACTTTTGGGGGCTGTGCTCCAAAATTACATAGCAATGTTGAAAGCCGTGTTAACCCACAATGCTGTTATCTAATATCATAATACACATACATTATGAAACTGAAAAAAATCTCGCGTCACGTCTACTTATAGAAACGTTCAGGAAAAGTACATCTTCGTCTTTTCATACGTCAATCTTCCCTCACGCCTCTCGGAAAATCAAACTGTTATGGTTATTTTTCTGGTTTTTTTTTCCGCATTACATCTTGTGCTCACATAGCCAACATTGTTACAAAGATAGCAGTATTCTTCTTGCGTAAAGCATAGACAGAGGTGAAAATGTCGCTTGACAAGCATCCGGTAAATGATGTTTTTGCTCCCCGCGACGAGAGAAGGACTGGATTTTTCTTTGAAAAGACATTTTTCCCTGTTTTTGTCATGCATGTCCAGACCTACATTCATTTTAGCGGCGTACACGGTGTGATATTAGTCTCTCTCCCCCCCTCCTCTCTCTCTCTCTCTCTCTCTCTCTCTCTCTCTCTCTCTCTCTCTCTCTCTCTCTCTCTCTCTCTCTTTGTGTCTTTACTGGGCATGGGGAAGTTTTGTTTTTAAGGTAGAATATAACCCAACTAGATGTAATAGATTATTTAGAAAGACGTTGGGGATGTATTCGTCAATGGTGTAGTGCTTAGGCACTTCGCGTAACAATCAATAGACTTGCGTTCGATTCCAGTGTAAGGAGAATTTTTTTTTATCGAGTATCATCGTCTTTCTCCTTGGACGATGTACCCCTTTAAGCCAAGATTGACCCTGGCAGGTAGGCTGGAAGCCCGCCTTCTAAGTGATGTAAATTGTGTCAATGGGGGAATAAAACACCTACATCCATAAGAAAGGTTTTCAGGATAAGACAATAGAGTAAAGTAGAATGCACTGTATACGTAAAAGTAGTCTACAAGTGGATACATGAGCATTGAGGTTCAGGAGTTTTGTTCTGCCTTAAAGGGTTGCATTTAAGTGGATTTGTTTTTTTTCCGCGACCAACAGGGGGGGGGGGGCGTATTGAGAGGGATATATATATATATATATATATATATATATATATATATATATATATATATATATATATATATATATATATATATATATGTGTGTGTGTGTGTATATGAATAATAAAAATCAATAGATAGATAGGTATACAGAGAAAAAAGACAAAAGAAAGAGAGAGAAAAAGAAGCAGGGGGGGGGGAGAAAGAGAGAGAGAGAGAGAGGGGGAGAGAGAGATAGATAGAGAGAGAGAGAAAGAGAAAGAGAGAGTGGGGGTAGCTCGAGAGGACGAGGAAG